AAAGATAAAGCGTTCAGCTGTAGCACCCTTCCGGTGCCTAGCTGCCATGCCACCCGAAGGAAGCACGAGGGCTGGGATACTGCCAGGTTGCCCAAGCCTAGACAGGGGAAGTCGAGTGGCGGAGGTCGGACTCGAACTACGGACCTTCGGGTAAGTAAATTCGCGCTCTAACCACTTGGGACGTCTTGCCCAACTTGGGCCTTTGACTCAGAAGTCTGACCCACAAGGTAGTGGAAAGATGTATGGTTTTTGTCGGAGACCGTGCCCCTAGCCTCTGATTCCAACGTCTGACCCATGAGGCAGCGGACAGTAGGGTTTTCTTTGGGGACTCTGCCCGGAGCCGATGACTCTGATGACTCAGCAGTCTGACCTGCTCGGCTGCAGGGGGTTGTTGACCTAACCCGAGGGCGCAGGGAATAAGGCATTACTATCTCATTCCTGATGCGGCTGCGCACAGCAGGCGCCTTTTGAGCAGCACTGGTCTCCTCGGTTTTAAAGTATTTCGACCGTATTGGATAATGTGCCGGCAGTCACGGTCAACCGTTGGGCGATCGGAGTGTGCGGTTTTTGGGGCCGACCTTTTCTAATCCGTCCTTCCTCGGGGGAAGGCAGCATCGCTGCTTCCATAAATATGGACATGCTGGTCGCCTGGGGGAAACACCTTACTGCCTTCACACTCCTGTCGCAGAGGACAGTACGACTTTACCCCCAGACCGCCTCGTAGCACGATTACTCGTAGTACGAGGTCTCGCTGTTCTTGGTCTGGCTGCTCCCCTTTGGCCTTCCTGGCATGGTTGCACCTTGTGGAACGATGTTCCAGCCAGTGTAGCCCGCGGGATCATTGCAGCACTCAAGCCCGACCACCACGGCAAAGTGGCAGCTTTCGGTCAGAGCATGAGCAGTTTCATAAAGTTATCGTATTTTTATGGATATAGAATTTTGGTAATAATTTGTTTGTAGAATGTGTGTACCCTTCAAGGCACACACTAACGGCCGTTAAGACTGTACATGCGCACAGACATTAGAATGAATTCTTGGACAAGTACACTGTGACAAGTCTTTGGATTTTGGTGACCACGTTGGACATTTTTATCATAGAAACATGGTGTACTTGAGAGAATTAAGCCGGAACAAGGTTCCTCAGGTTATTCGAAAGCGGACGATCTTCATATAATTCTGCGGGGTATGTCCGTATTATGCTGATTGAGTACACAAATACGGGGAAGAACAGGCGCCTTTGCCATATATTTGCTTCCGAAGCCACATGTTAACAGATTATCCCGACATGGACCGGGGAGACGCATGAGGTTTGAACCCGGATCACCAAGATCGTAACTCACTGTTTTATCTAGTCTGACACCCTGGCCAGTGATTCCTTGATACAGTAGGTCGAAACATATTAACTACTATCTTGTGTCGTCCGGAAAAGATGTTTGAAGAAGTATGCCACCCTCGTCTCCCCAGAATGTCCTAGTGATCTTCGGCAGCAGTAGACAATTTCGAAAACTAAAATTCGGCATATTGACTTTGACTTATCATACCATAATCCATCTGCGAAGACATTAATTCCATACCTATTCCAGGCAGGGAAAAAGTAAACATACCAATTTTTATCAGCTATGTTGTTTAGAAAAAACATTCTCGCATTGCCCTTTACGATTGATAGAGCAAATTGCCCCGAACTTGGCATGTCTCTGAGCAGATTGTAGTGGCCAACATCCACGCTATACACAGGTACAGCTGGTTACTGCTAGGATGTGCACTTTCGGAAGAACCTTATGTTACTGGGTTATCTTTCTTGACTCCGGACATGTTCACTTTGTAATATGGAACGGTCTGGATGGCCAGACTTTCTAGACTTTGAGCTGCCGTGATGAGATGGATGTGAGTTCGAATTCAGATGCGGTAGAATCCTGTCGAATGTACTGGAATGATCTTGTAACACAGACGATCCGTCCTGATAGTTTAAATTCTACGTCAATAAGTACAGATGGAAGTATCACTCAATTGTAGTTTAGTCTACATTAACATGCATACCCCCACTAATACAAATTACAATCACGTGATCAATATCAGTAATAATCAAGATCAATAACCAACAACCAGCCGATGCCGACCTCACCTCTGCACAAAGCATACAAGCGTTTGGATATGGTACACAGTAGAGCGAATCGATGAGACAATGGTGATTGACTCTTGACGCTCCTAAATGAGGATAGGGCAATTTCTGTGTCAGGAACATGGATGCATTGACGACTCAGTGGTTAGGGGGCGAACTTACTGACTGGAAGGGCCGTGGCCCGAATCCAACCCCCAGCATCTTGACTACACCTGTCTAGGCTTGAGCAGTTCCTGTGCTTCCTCAGGGCGGTATGAAAGCCATACACCCAAAGGGTATTGCAGATTAGAGATACTAATGTTTTGGAGACTTTGGCACGTTTGTACAACAAGTGATTAGTTTCTTGACCCTAGAAAGTCTCCGACAGCAACCTGAGAACTGGCGATACGCTCGGTATCTTGGATACCGCTCGGGGGCAGTCTGCATGCAGCACACCCGGTTGAAGGATATCATAAGTTAAATCAAGTCGATTCAAGTAAAGTTGATCATTGCCAAGTGTTCGAACAAAGGGTGACAACTTTGAACCTGACCGTATCCTGCTCCATCCACCAGATGACTTCTGTTCAGCATTCAAGGCGTAGATTTTTTCGAGGACCGGTCAGTCCAGCTCTGCTTTTCACTTATGGTATGGACAGAATCGTCAGCTAATAATTATAAATGAATTCGACTACAACACGATTTTTGAGTTAACTGTTCACAATAGCACCAAATAGTTGTGTATCGGTGTGCCCTCGTTGACCAAACGCAGACTGAAGTTCGGGATTACGTGCGTTTTAACATTTACGAGACCTTCAGACCGCTCGGATATTAAGATGCGAAACTGCTGGCCGCAAAATTCAAACGCAGCCCTTGGCTTTCGGTTGCTCCGGTCTAAGTTTGGCTAACTCAATTCTATCGCAGTCTTGCTTTTTCCTCGTTACATGGCAGTCATGTAACGAAAGGTTGCCGCCTAGCTAAACGATGAATTGAAAGTTTCACGTAGTCCATTTGCGTCTGCTTGCTTTGTATGCATTCATTTTAACCCCAGACATTAGAACATTGAAAGGACGGTCTACATTTAACTGAAAATTAAGCTAACAGGAAGGGAATTTACTGCTCAAGGTACCGTCACTTTTTCAACTCTAGATGGACAACTCAGGTTCAACTAGGAATACTTGTTGGAATGTATAGTTGGATAGCGCTAGTTAAGACCTGCTCATCATCAACCATCAAACTAGGGGATTCAAAACGGCTGTGGAAATACTTGGGTTGAAATCTCCCGCATGGATAGTAGGTTCTTCGATACTTCCGGTGTTCGAAATGGAAGATATCATGTCACCAGATGGCTAGAACGAATTGAGACAGAATGCTCAACTGCGGAAGGTGATCAAAATGGAGTCAGCAAGCGAAGCCACCGTCCAAACGAGTATGGTGGAACGGTTGTTTTCTTAGGCGAACGGAACACCTAAATTATAAGAGAAGCTGGATGCAACAACGGAGCTCAAGAATCCTTTGTTGTTTGGCTTCCGTCATGGTAATGGCAGCCAAAGCTGTCCAAAATCATTACTGAATATCACTTTCTTTCGCCCGACATTTCATGCTTGGACTTCAGATTAGCACCCACAGTTCAGTCAGCTTCATTGCCCTTTTCATCCTAGCGTAACGGTGATACTACTGATGGGGAAGGCATGCGAGTAGTATGTTTTCTCGTAAATCCGCTTTGCGCCTCTTGAAAAGTGAGATATATTGTGGGACTTGTGGAGTTGCTTTGTAGCATTTGCTTGGATTCGAGCAACAGTCAGTGAATATCCAGGAAAGTTCAGGAAGACGCGTTCAAGAGAAGATGGATGTTCAGTTTTCGTGAACAAGATGCATGCGAGAGTTTTGCTTCCTGTCTGATAGTCTGTAACTGGTCAGTTGGTATTTTCTAACAAATAACTCTGTAGCGAAGGCCTTCTTTCTTTCACTAAGAGATGTCACATTTTCAACGACCTTATACCATCCAATTCCACAGTGAAAGGTGACTCTTCCAGTTCGAGGTCATCGTTCTCTTAATGCCATATTCAACGATTGCCTCTTCATTCTACTTCAACAATTAAACGATAGCCCTCTAGGAAATACCACCAGATAAACAAAATGCTTAGGTTTTTTGCCCAAAGTGCAACAAGACCTTCCCGTTAAATGAAAAAAAATAAGAGTCACATGGGTCTTCCGATTGAGAAGTCATCGTTGGAAGTAGTCAAAAGTGATTCAAGTGGATTGCGTAAGTGGAGGTTGGTGGCACCCTATCCTTCAAAGTGTGAGGACATCATACTACTCATCTGCTAGCACAAAATTGCTGACTGGAATATTCCTGGTTCTAACCCAACTCTGGCTTTCGGTCCCTCCTGTCAAGACTGGGGCAGCATAGCAGTCCTCGTGCTTACTTCGTGTTGCACGACAATCATGCACCGAAAGGGTATCACAGCTGAACGTCTCGAATGTTCAACACATCTCACCCCTCTACCTCCTGTAACGAGTTTTCCCTTGACAAATCCACTGTTGCTCCGGTTACTACGAAACCGAGATTCACCTTTGGTTGACGTCAACCGGATCGGTGACCTAAGTATAGTGTTGGTAGACCCTGTCAGTTATAGCTTGTAGGCATTGAAAAAATGACATCGAGGAAACCTTGACAACATTTCTCGTCCCCCAGAAATGTAAAATGATACTCCGTTCGGTAGACAAGTTCTTTAAGTGGTGTAGAGCAAATAGCTTTTCACGCACACCATCATCATAGACGCTCTCCATCCGAATAAACTAATCAAGGTAGTTGTCCCATACTTTTCACAGCAATTTAGACGAATGCGAGCAAGATCATGACCTTGGATTATCAACTGGTTTTACTCTTTCACGGACCGATCTTGATCGATAGGCAAATATTCTGCCCACATGAAGCAGCTGCAACGAATGTATTCTTGGTAACGTTGAACGCCGAAATCCGTCACGGCTCGCGTCATATTCACGTTTAAAAGAGGTAAACATGTTCCACCTACTGGAGCTCATTCCAAAAACGCACTGATTCACAAGCATCGTACAGACAATAGATCAATCATCCTTACCATCACGTGACGAGAATGTGTTTCACGAGTAGTCCAATCCATGCATTCATGTCAACATTGATTTGTCATATCTAGAATCTGGCCTATGATACGCCCAGTTTTTTAGAGCAGATTGACCCGGATAACTCGGTAACCCAGCCCAACCCCCTACCACCTAACTCACCCGATCCAGTGAACTGAAACGTCGGCACTTGAAAAGCCAACGAAATCCAGATCACATGAAGCGACCAATGGAATCGGAAGATTAGCGTCGCTATGTCATGTCTATGTGCGTTACTCTGCTGCTGAAGACCCTGCCCAAAGGTTTCCGGTTCAGATCGCTCTTGAAATACATACTAAATAGACCGAGCATCCTAACAGTGTCCTTCAGATTTTCAAAGGTAATGACCAACTGGAAACTCCAAATCCAGCTCAGTATTCAAAGGCTGATTAGGTAATACACTGTGAAACGGTTTACCCATTCAAACGTCATTCCGGTGGAAAGCCTCTGTGTGATATGAAAAAGGTCACATACGATCACATAATAATCCACGCTATCGATTGGATGTCCTGAATTAGTTGGTTAAAGGAGTTCCACCTACCAAACTAATGATTGGGACATGTGTTGCGTATGTCTAACCATCGTTTGCTGAAGAGAGTCCAACTCATGTCCAACTCAGAGAGGTGGGCATTCCTTGACCTGGCAGAGAGTATGGATAGGATTACGAGAACTTTGGGTGCTGTCGGTGTTACTCGCCTTCCATGATGGGGACCGCGAGACCCCTACTGTGCCTGATTAGAGATGCTGCAATATATGGCTCCTACCCGATGTTAATGGCGTCCTTGTTGTTAGTTCCTATCCAGATTCCCGGACTTAATGTCTCGAGGTGTGAGAACCTCGGAATGATTGTAGTGAGCTAGCACTAAGTCCCTTCCCCGTGTTGAACTCTGATGTCACCCTATCGATTACGACGATGATGAAGCCAATGGCCTCTGAGTTGGGTTACTTGCACCAGTCCACATATCCTTCCGTCCCTAGACCTCATACGGGATTTGACCTGCAGTTGTTTCACCGTTGCAATCACAAGCCTTCATTCGACCGAGGACAACCTGGCACTTCAGCTTTGCTGACCTTTATCTCGCGCATTAAAAGAATAAAGGAAATATTGACACTACGATATAAGTCCTCCAGTTGTACCGACACAACGGAAAAAGGATAATCCACGTTTCAAAAAAGCACAAAAGTATAAAATTATACTCGCAGTGAGTAGGAAGTCAATCACACAAGTAATAATTAAAACATTAAAATGGTGTGCTGCAAATAAGGCGAGTTAGCACTCGTCGAACTCCGCCTTCTGCTTTTTTGCAGCAGCCTGGATTGCCTTGACAACATCTGCTGACTGGAGCATCACTTGGTTCAAGTCAGCCTGAAAAGCGAGGGGATTGAGAGAAGATGAGTTTTCGAAGTAAAAATTCCTAGGGTAGTTGATCTCCTGTTGTTTCACCAAAACCAAGAAGGAAGTCACAAAAGGAAATGCACTCCTAGCGGCAGCAAGGGCAGATAGCTGAACAATAGTCGACCATTGATTGGGGAGTATGAGTCGTAAGTATGCACACGATCGACTACTGATTAGGGCCAAGTAGTTAAAAGTTAAAACAGTTGCGCGAATGTGGCTTGAAGTCGATCAGCCCCGCAAGTCAGAAGGAACTCACCAGTTGATTTAATCCCTCCATCACACCGTGATCCCGTGAAAATAGTAATGAGCGTTTGGTCGTTTGAACCGCAATGGGGCTGTGGTTTCCAATCTGGATGGCTGTGTTAATCGCCTCCCGTAGTGTCTCCTCTGGAGTTTTGAACACACGGCTGAAATTAGAGGGTTCACCGACACATCTCAGATATTCACCAGATTGGGTCGATTGAAATCACATCTCGCGAACAGGATATTAGTGTTACTTTGCCCCTTGTCAAGATATCAACTAGTTTTGACCTCCCCCTTATCAACGGAACGACGAGATAATGGATGGTAGAGACGAAGGTTATGGAAACAGGAATTGAAATATGAGGTTCCATAGATGGTAACCAACCAGTCCAGCCTGTGATACAGCAACAAAGCCGACGGCTTCATAGCAAAAGTGAGTCTCTTTTCAAAATTTAACGTGAAACCTCAAGCTTGTTCAATTTCTTTGTTTTGAGGTGTAGGAAGAGCATGGTGAGCCATGCGGATGGGAATGCTGCCTCAACAATTTGTTTGGTGTATTTATTCTACGCTCTCGCATTTTTCTCGTGAATTGAGCCACAGTCCGCAACATTTAGATGTAAAAACATTCGGGTATACATCTCAACTGAAATTAAAAGATGGATTCCTGTGAAATTAAGGTGTCTCAACAGGCATTGAATCTGAAGCACTGCATTTTATTCGGAGCGACTTCAGTAATCTCTCGAATTCCAGTGGGAGGAATTTCGTCAGTACACATCATAGGAGATGAAGCTACCAATTATGGTGTCATTCGTTTCATATCTCCAAAAACTCCTTACCAGATCGAAACCTATCCAACATCACCTAAGTTAACTACTGCTTTGCCACCAGTGAGAGGTCCCACTGTTCTGACCGCTAATGCTGAGTCTTGTCTATGTAGAATAGACCGAACTTCCCCTGGACGGAGCTCACTAAGAGGAATGAGCAGTTGGAACTTCTCCTGTGTATGGTCTTCCTTCGAGAGAAAACTAGGGTGATATATCCCAGTGAACTGCCCGAAATCTATGAAATATTGAACTAGCCCAGAAAGGAGGTTAACTCACAAAAGGAAGAAAACTTCCATCCGAGAATTTGTCACTAGAGGAATCGGTCTAAGCGCGACCATGCAGTGGAATTGCATGACCGAAGGACGAATGGTGCAATATCCTGTCTAGGTGCGAGCTAACCGCATTGTCTAACAGTCGCCACCTGGTAGTCTCCAGCAATTGCCCAGAAGCGGTGGGTTCAAATGGCCCTGTATATTTGTAGATGCTCAATGCCTCTCGACTTTTGTCATACGCTGACTTCACTTACCTCGACAAAGCAAATTTCGAGAACGACATAATCTCAATTTGGTGCAGATCATACGATATTCCTCCCATTTGCATTAGTAGTTCTGGTTATTGTTCCAAACAAGCTTTCTGGGGCACCCAGTGAACTCGTAATTTTGGTTAGGTTCCACCGTATTATATAGAACACACCTATACTCCTCACAAAGAGAACAATGACCCAATTTGAAACGAATCTTTACCAGTGCACGACAATTCTGAAGTCACTCAGGTATACATAGTGATCCTTGCAACAAGGACCGCCCGTGAGCTCGAATCGAAGTAGTCTTTTATGGGGGACTATTCCGTGAGAGTCAGTTGAACTCCCAGTTTAACTATTACTGATGTTTGGTGAAGGTTCTGTAAGTCGAAAAACTATATTATGAAGAAATATGTCGTCTGGTTGAATTCCATAGTATTCTTTCCCTGTCTGGGCCAGTTTGAAATAAGACTTCCTTGCAATGCGAAAAAATGGGAGCAAAAATGTCCATTTTCTCCGTACTTCTCGCTTAATAAAGCAGGCAGTGTAGATAAAACTGCTCACACGGTTGTTTGAAACTCAACTGGACAGCGACCGACCTGTTCCACCCTTTTGGGAGTTCACCGGTTACACTCATTCCCCGAATTTTCGTTAACCTTATGCTTAATTTAAACTAAACCTGTGCGAAATTCGCAATGTACATTCACTTCTACACCGATTTAGTTTTCGAGAGACTCAGCAGAGACGTAGTTGAATCTCTTGCCTATGGTATTCTTCGTAAATGAGATTTCATTTGGATTCAGTTTAATCACCAGTTAACTAGGTGTAATTCATCTAGTGTGGACTTTTCCAGTGGCTTTGAAATCACGTGTTCATGACCACGTCGGCACTGGCTGGACAGAACAAACCAACGGCGGGTGATCATATTTGGCCATTCATTGTCCAGCTGTAACCCCCTTTCGGTGCCTAGCTGCCATGCCACCCGAAGGTTGCACGAGAGCTGGGATACTGCCAAGTTGCCCAAACCTAGACAAGGAAAGTCGAGAGGTAGAGGTCGGGTTCGAACTAGGGACATTTCGGTGTGTAAATTGGCCTCTAACCACTTCTGCCAATCACCTAAATAAATAAAATAAATCGTTCAGCTGTAGCACCCTTTCGGTGCCTAGCTGCCATGCCACCCGAAGGTTGCACGAGGGCTGGGATACTGACAGGTTGCCCAAACCTAGACAGAGGAAGTCGAGAGGGACAGGTCAGGTTCGAACCACGGACCTTCCGGTCAGTCAATTCGCGCTCTAACCACTTGGACCATCTCACCCAGCTCAGTATAGTCTGACCTGACAATACAGCCGTGTTCCGGCTGTCTTCCATAACCAGTGAGTCAATTTCGTAAGTTCAAATGTAACGAACAATTATTTGTCCTCACAACGACTTGGGGGACGGTAAAAGTTGACCGAAGAGATAATTATCGAAATACGAATAATGCAAAGCAGCAATAGCCTGAAAATTTGCGACGGTTCCGGTTCGACCTACCTGACAAACCCACAAGCAAGGGCTTCTGAAGCATCGAAGCGTCTAGCTGTGTAGATTAGCTCACGGGCGAGGCTGTCACTACCCAGCAAGAGGGGCAAACGTTGTAACGCGCCAACATCCGCTGCAATGCCCAGTTCCAATTCCTGAAGCGCACAGTGTTGGCGGGATGAGTGAGAAGAAGCTAGTAAATCTGAAGTGTTATACTTACTATTCAAAACCTCATCTACCTCGCTATCGCAGTGAGGTGGTGGTGGTGGTGGCAAGGTACAAATGGCAAGTTTCTTCCTTTTAGGAAGAATCTTACCGAAGACCAGTCACTCCCACAAGAGTTAATAACGGTATTCCATATCAATCATGACCTACGCGCTATTCTCTCTCCAAGATGGGACCTCAGTTAGTGGAATTTTGTATTGGACTGAACAACCGCTGGTGACCGACGAAGAAGAGTAGGAATATGACGTAGCTTTCAACATCAGTATCAGTTAGTGTCCACTTAACTGTAATGCTACTCGTGAGTAGTAGCAAGCATAGCCAGAAAACCAGCTGAAACCGATTCGACCAGAGAAAACCTTATGTATTCAGAGGATCACTGGGTTTACTCACTGATGGCTAATAGATGAATGTCTTGATGGTCGCGCGAAGGATTTCTCGCTGCAAATACTGAAAAAAGTCATGTCATACAAAACTTCTGAATGCGGCTTGTGAACTCGACACGGCAAATGGGGTAGATGGATCTAATGTTTCGCTCTCTCGAGAAGAAATGGTCGTTTGTTGAAGACGCTGGTCTATCACAAGTAAGAAATCAATCGAAACTAAAACAAGCCCCAAGCTTAGTTGTTATCAGTAACTGCTTCAAAACACAATCAGTTGTGTGACCTTGAAGACCGCTGTTGAATGAGCGGTCCTGCGCGGACACGGAAGATCTACAAACCAGCAACATAAACATGCCAAGTTATCTATACATCGCACAGTAATCTCGGGACCTTTGTCTACGGATTACGCTCAAAGTTAAATGCAAACAAAAGTTCAAACAAAAAGTCGGGAGTGAACGCATATACAGTGGTAATGTACGAGTGGATCTGAATCTGCTTTAGAGACGGCGATTACTGTTGAATTTCGGGATGAAAAACCATCGGGTACTCACTATCAAAGTGGTTGATAGGCAACGAAGAAAACTGAATTTTCTGCAAGGACATTTTCTACGCGCACAGTCGTGGAATCAAAGGTCTCACAGTTCTGGTTTCGCCGCTTGCCAGTGTATCCATACGAACAGCTTTGGCATGACAGTCGGACTTTCGGTACACCGTTTTTAAGGCAGTTACGCACAAGAAACCGATTCTCCTCCTTATGCTAGCAACACACACACGGGCCAACCCATCGAACACAAACGAAGAAGTAAGCAATAACAGAACCGCCTATTATGAATAGCCATCATCACATTCCGTCAGAATCTGTTTACGGAATTTTACCACGAAGTGAACTGACACGTCCATACGAAATCTGGGGAGTTGTGAATCTCTGAGGACAATCTAACTGAAAAACCCTGTCAAACCATGTCAGGAAGTTTGCCTATAAAATTCCACGACGTTTCAAAATGAAGCTTAGCAAGGAAAATGAACAAATCGCTTCGTTTTCCTGCTGAACG